GTTGAAACTCTTCAATGAGACACCTCATATTCATCACCTGTGTGGGAGTAATTTTGATACAAGGAAGTCAGACTCTCACTCGAACCAAAGGCTTCTTATACTACTGTTAGAACATTTAAATAGGGGGTCAACACGAGAGATTATTTTGTCATTCTTTGGGACTTTTCTTTTATGAGCAACACACCGCATACTCACCTAAAACTTTAAGGTGATAGGTGTATGAGTTCTCTCACTATAAAATGCTCAACTTTCCACTCTTGTAATCAATATAGAACTTCCCCACACTTTATTTCTCAAAGTTTTCAACTCACTTATTCTGAACACATTTGTTGTACCCCAAATTTTGATCCCTTAGATTCTCATTATCATTTTAGAAGCATGATCATGAATTATCTAACCCTAAATCAGTGCAAGTTCATTATTGTCAAGTTACAGATGAATCAGGGTTTTTGCACCGACAAATTCAAAACAACCAAGGAATGATCAACCAATGATTTGGGACAATTCAATCATGGAATGAAATCAAAGATAATATCAAAGTCAAATGAGAAGTCAATTTGAAGAAATCAGTTCAGAATCAAAGACAGTGCAGTCGGGAGGCCCCGATTAGGGTTTTTAACTAGTGAAAAGTCAATTGTGGTTTGACTTTGATGTTGGAAGATGTTGTAATGGTGGGATTGAGGTCCATGGAGTTCATATAGCTTATTAAAGTCTATTCAAGAAGTTTCAAAGTCTCAGGAGGTCCAGAATGTCAACAGGCGACTCGGTAATCACCGATCGGTCGTACGGTTGACCGAAAAGTCAACTCTCCAAATTTTATGAATTGAACTTCAAGTTGTGAAACAAAGTTGTTCCTTATGTCATATTGGACTTGCATATCAATTTTCATGATCATTGGATCAAGGATGAAGGAGTAATCGAGAAATAGGGAAATTAGGGTTTTGAAAAGGGCTAAACCATAACTCCTTAACCACACATCCAATTGAGTTGGTTCAAAGCTCATTTGGAAGCTCTTGACAGGTCCTACAAAAGTCCTTGAGTGGTCCATGATCAGAAAATGCATAGATTTTGAGTTATGGTCAAATTCATTTCAAGAAGGGAAAAAGACTTAGGAAAATTTCACTTTTTAAGCTCATTTTTAGCAACTTTGGAGGGCTTTTTGGCCAAGTTACTTTGAGAAATTGAAACTCATGAAAACATGAATGTTTTAGAGCTATGTGAGGGCTTTCTAAATTGTACTAGAACATCTCAAGAGGAGTTATGAGCAGAAAGTTACATGTGTTCAAAGTTGAGGGTTTCACACTTTAGTCCCACATTGGCCAATTTTCAAGAATGACTTATTTCACTAATTTTGCCAAATTTTCTTGATCCAACTTGTTGTATGTGATGTATCAGATATGTGTAGCATGAAACAAGAGAAAATTGTGGAGGAATAGCCCAAAATCAAAGCTTGGACTTCATTGCCATACAAGTGGGCAAAGTTGCCAAGTTTGACAATTCCAACCATGAAGTGTAAAGTGAAGCTGCACCAGCCCTTCCCTATGGTTTCTAGCCTGCTACAAACATCAAAAATCAGTGGGAAATGTTGACAAAATAGCCTTGTATCAGAACCAATGATGAAAACCCTCCCTTGAAGGTTTGCTCCAAAATATCACAAGTTTGCTTCATGATGAAGAAAGGTCCCTAGCAAGCACCTCAATCTCTTTTCCTATAAAAGGAGGGCTCATTCACCTCATTTCACACACAATTCATCTGATAGAAACCATAGAGAATCTCTGTTATCACAATTTCCACTCCTTGCTTCAAATTCTCAAAAACACCAAAATCCATGAAAACACCTAAAATGGTCATGAAGTGAAAATTGCTCAAATTCATTTCTATCATGTCCAACACCTCAACCACCCTCCACATAACGCCTAAATACCATATAGAAGGTGTATAAGCCATTAAACCACCAAGAAGCTTTAAAAATCAAAAAGTCAACTTTCTTCCCACACTACTTTGACCAAATCCACAAAACTTGCCAAAACTCATTCTACATAGTATCTTGGCATTCTAATCACTCATACACCTCATAAATGTTGTTTCTCAACTGTCCAAGCAATTAACAACCATTTGAAACTCTTGTTTTTACATATAGCATTGCAAGTGCATCATTGCTTAAAGTTGAAGAAAGGTTCAAAGGCAAAGAAGTGAAGAGGAAGTCTCTGGTTTCCTCAATTGTTTCAGCTTGTTCAAAAGGATCATCAAGAGGTATGTAACTTGTCTCCATTGGCTTTTGTGTCATTTTTCATGATTTTGGAATTTTAAGCATTTTTGTTCATTTTTGAAGTTATGAGCACATCAAAGCACATCGAGCAACTCAATTACCATTTTTTGCATAAGTTGTTGTTTTACCAAAATCACATTTCCAGCACTTCATAACAGTCATTTAGAAGTTGTTAGCACCATCATTTGGTTTTAGAAGCAAGCTGTTTGAAAATTCACATTTCAAAAATACACATGTTCACAAAAGCACATTTTTGCAACTTACACAGCTTTTTTCATCACAACATGATATAGGTCCCATCTTTTGCATAAACTCTTTCCTTATCATTTATGTGGTGTGTGGACATGATCTCCATGATTTGAAATTATTTAGAACTTGAGTTTCATAGCAAAATGCATCTCATTTCATCAACATACATCAGCCATCGATTTTTTTATTACAGTAAGAATTTTCAAAAACTACCACCACCATCATGTTCCTTGTTTAATTCTACCCCAGATGCATATAAATTTTATGTCGTTTCGATAAACGGTTAGGAAGTTACGCTAGAAAACGTAAATGCCCGGTTATGTGTTGTTTTGCCCAGCCTGGTGCACATTTTACCCTTATTAATTAAAGGGGTGGCTTATACAAACGGATGTATAGCCACCCCAGTGGTAAGACCATGTGCCTTTCATGCCAAGTACCTGAGTTTGACCCCTGAGGAGGGCAACTCTTTTGTATAATTTTGTGATTTTTAATGCAAACTTCGAAAATTCATATCTCACTCGTTTCTCATCATTTTTCGTCCGTTCTTTTTTTGTTGTGTTCGTATTAATGTGTACTTTCATGCCATTCTTTTATTTTTTATGTTTGCACAATTTATCACCAATTTTGTTTATGTTCAAGTGTGCGCGTTTTCGCGATCGTTTATGTAATTGCAGATGAATGTTTATATGTTTCCTTTCATTATTTTTCTTGAAACTTGTTTGAATCCATGTCTATATGTGTTAGTTAACATGCTAGGATTTATTTCTCGGTGTTTACTATTTTTTATCTGTTGATTTTCATTAAAAGCGAACTGTTGTCACAGTGTCGATTATTTCATCTGTTAACTGTTACCTTCATGTTTCAAAGGTTATCATCATGTTTCATCCTCACCATCTCTTATTATTTAATTGGTTGTAACCATGATTATGCTTTACCTTGATTATCATCTTGTCTAGCATTTTATTTTCTTTTATCCCCAAGCGACGAAACTCGTTAGTTCTCGTCCAAGTCGTCTCCCCATTTTTCCTCCAAAGGAAGGTCTGTTATTTGACCCTCAATGTCAAGAATGTTTCAATCACACCCTCGACTTTGTTAAGTCACTTTACCCCTAGCTTAGAAGCCTTTAGACTTTGCTTTAAGTCTAAGAAACTCACCTGTACTAGGAGCGTTCTTCAACTAGAACCCTAGGAAAGAGTTCGTCAACTCTGTGTAAGAATCATCATCATGATCTCTTACTTTCCCCTTCTACAACTTAGAATAGGGAGTTTTGTCAAACTCCACACAAACATTGTCATGTTTGTTCCCCATTGAACCTTGATCGTCATCAAGTGTTCTTTCCCTTGTAAGGTGAACTACGATTGCTCTGATTCTATCCTAGTTAGGATACGTAGGCAGAAGATGCGACGTCTTTGCGAGCAAACTTAGTGTATATAATTTTAGGTTTCAACTCATATATTTTCCCAATCCACAGTACATATTTCACACTTAGCAAGCAATCAAACAAAAGGTTCCTGTAGAGTACTACAGATATTTAGGGTGCTAATACCTTATCTAGATATAACCAACCCCCGATCCCCGAATCTCTTAAAGCGTTGTCGTTACATCGCGAAAAAGGTTTTTCTTTCTTGAGACCTTTCCTTTGGATAAATTAAAGATCGGTTGTAAAAGAAATAAGATTCAAGTTAATTAATAGCTTGATATCCAATTTTCACCGCAACAACATTCAACTTTGTTTCTTTGTATATTTTGTAAGGTGTCTGTTTTAAAATAGGTCTAAGAAAATTTTTATTTAAGACATGACAACATGTGTTTATGCCATTAGTCTAAAAATACTTATGAAGATTTTATTTCTTTTAATCATAGATTTAGCAAACTCTTATAAAATTCTATTCTTTTTCTATTTTGTTTTGGGTTTTAAAAGTTTAGTAGTTATAATTAACACCATTTTAATAGCCAAAGCTTTCAATGAGGTGCTTTTTAAACTTTCCTACATATGATGCATGAATGAAGTATGTGTTGTGTCATATTCACTCATTTATTTCCACCGTGTAACTTACTTATCTAAGTGAAAATTTTTTTATGTAATATAGGACTATTTTACTTGTAACCAATTTCTAGTAGTGAAAGAAAAGTTATTATTGTGACATAAAATGTAATGTGAGTACTAGTACTAGGGCTAGTACTAGTACTAGGATAGATAGCAACTGCGTGATATCTTTACTGAGGTTACTTTCAACTACTTTAAAAAAGTCTTTATATTCTCAACATGTCTTCCTTTCACTAAGCATAACCTTTAGGTAATAACCATAACTACCAAAACTCAAGGACATTTCATATCATATCATAACCTTACACAACACAAGAGTAGAAGAAAGTTTTTGCAGAAAATTGTCTTTAAAATATAATATATTATATTCTCTTTCATCTGGTTTTCTGAAGAAAAAAAACAATGTTTATTACATCATAAAAAAAAATATAAATAATGGGTAGAGGAAAGGTAGAACTAAAGAGGATTGAAAACAAAATAAATCGTCAAGTTACATTTGCAAAGAGAAGAAATGGGTTACTCAAGAAGGCTTATGAACTTTCTGTGCTTTGTGATGCTGAGGTTGCTCTTATTATTTTCTCTAACCGTGGAAAGCTCTATGAATTCTGCAGTGGAACAAGGTACATGAATCTTCATATTTTTTTTCTTCTGTTGTTTCTTTCTTTTTTGAAAAATATTTGCTTCTGAATTTGTTTTTTGTCTTGATTTTTTTGAGTGAGTTTTCTTTTATATATTTTTCATCTTGATTTTATTTTCTCCTTTTTATTTGCTTATGATCTTTTATACTGTGATTCTTAGGGTTTAGGGTTTGATTTGATGGTGGGATTCTTAGATTGTAGTGACAACAATTTGTAGATCGTTTTGCTTCAAAATCATCTCTAGATTTTGAAGAGTCATTCATAGTGAATTTTCTCAAATTATCTCTTATTTTTCAGGATGATAAAAAAATTAGTGATTTTTTTTTCAGAAAATAATTAACTGTTTTTTAAAAGTTATAGATTTTTAAATATTAATAATTTGTTTATAATTAACGGAAATAAATTTCTTTAATTTTATATGTTTAAAATTTAAAATGAGATGAAAGATTTTTGGTTTTTTTTTCAAGATGAATGTTTTTTTTTTAAATTTAATTAGTAATTATTAAAAATTTTCATTGTATTACTTATTTATTTATTTATTGCAAAGTGAAATTTTTTCTCCTACAATTTTTTTATGGAAAATAAGAAATGGGAAAAATCTGTCTGGTGGAGGGAGGCTGAGATGGTCTCCGTTTTAGGAGCTGAAATTTTTTTTTTATAAAAATTGATTCTTTAAAATTGGAAATAAAAAAAATTATGCAATTATTTCTCTGTCTGCATTGCAATTAAATAATTTTCCTAAGTGAGGTCATGTCTTTGATGTTCTGTCTATTTTTTATTGAAAGATACACGTGGGTTTCTTATCTTTGTTGCCTTTGCATTGTTGTATGGATATGCTTTTATTCTATTGAAAAATTTGAAAGATAGCATTTTATTAGGAAAAATGCCCAACACAAAAAAACAAAGTATTATATGAAAATTAATTAAAGAGATAATTTTAATTTAAAAAATTAATAATAGAAAAGAAATGTTACTTTTGGCTTTTTGTTTGTTTGTTCTGTCCAAATATCTATGTTGATTGTGTGTTTGTTCAATTCGTTAATTGATTTGCAGATTACACAGTCTTTGTTTTAGGAACATTCCGACCAAACACTGTTTTATAAAACAGAAAATTTTGATTGTTATTTATATATATTTCGATTTAAGGTAATATAATAATTCCAAGATTCTTGTTTGTTTCTATAAATTCATTTCTATTAAGTATAGTTAGACATGTTTCATTAAATCAATTTTGGTGATAGCTGTGTTGAAATATTATAGGCAACGATGTTAATTCCGTGACATTTTACTTCGTCATTAAATAATGAATTTTAGTCTTAAAAAAATTATAGTTAGACCTAGAATGTTGTAAATAAAGATTTGAAAAATATGAATTTTTCGTGTAGGGTTAGGTAGTTATATGTAAGAATTATAAACACAATATATAAGAAAACTGCAAAATTCAATTTGATTTATTAGAAAAACAGAAAAAAAAACCTTAAAAAGTTAATTCTTACTTAAATCATATCATAAATGAATGAATGAAATGATTAAGGGTATGATTGAATAAATATCTTATTTAGTACAAGTGTTTATCAAAATTAGTATTTATGAAAAACTTCATAAGCTATTTTTATAATAAAAAATTAAAATAAATTTCAATTATTTTTATATATACTATAAGTTATTTTTATAAATTGTTTTGGAGAATTTCTAAATATAAGCTCAAAACAATTTATAAAATTGTGGGAAGCTGTTTTGATAAAGTCCTTTAAACCATGTCACAATATGTATACGGTAGATTAATTCAAATAAGTTAATTAAAATTTGTGTTAAATGTCCCTAACAATAATTAAAAAGAGATATTTGGTTCGAACAATAATATTTAAAAACATATAATCTGATTACTGCAAAACAAAAAGTTCTTATATAATTTTTTCTTCAATAAATTTTTTAATAAAATATTTTTTTTGTTTTCTTAACTTTATCTTTAGGTTCAGATTAGTCACTTAATTATTTTTTGTGTCAGATTGGTCGCTTAACTATTTAAAACGTGTCATATTGATCATTTTTATCTAATTAGTGACGGATTTTTGAATTTTTTTCGTCGCTAATTAGACGAAAAGGACTAATATGATACGTTTTAAAGAGTTAAAAGATCAATCTGACACAAAAAATAAGTAAGGGATCAATCTGAATCTAAAAGTATAGTTAAGGGATCAAAAAAGATATTTAGGAAATTTTTTTTATAAACAACACTATATATATATATATATATATATATATATATATATATATATATATATATATATATATATATATATATATATATATATATGAGGTACTAAAGGTACCTCAACTCAACGTACAATAACACAAACATATATATATATATATATATATATATATATATATATATATATATATATATATATATATATATATATATATATATATATATATATATATATATATATGAGGTACTAAAGGTACCTCAACTCAACGTACAATAACACAAACACTAAAAAAAAAAAGTTTGATTCATACTATTAGACCAAACTTTAAAAAAAAAGTTAGATTCAAACTTCAAATAAAACATATAACAAATAATAAACTAAACTCAAAGTTAATTTTTTTAAATAAATATAATTTGATTAAACAAAACTCAGTTCCCATCTCTTATTAGATCATTTTTACTATGTAATGGAATTTTGTATACTTATTAAATAAGTGTAGATTTATAAACTGGAACCAGTATTAAAATGACTATGTTTGAATATTATAAAATAAACAATGTATAATAGTATAATAGAACTGCGTAGAATGTAGAAATATAGAATAATACGGAAATCAACGTATCTTTGGAAAGTTTTAGGACGAATAAGTTCTCCATTCCGTCCAATCCATTTGATCTAAATAGAATACCACTTCATTTTATCTTGTACTTCATTTTATCTTATACCAATTCATTTGATCTAGATCCATCACTCCAAGTAAAGTTTAAAGTGATAGTTATAACTAATATAGATACCATAAATTAAGAAATTCTTTTACTTGCATAAATACAAAATATATTGTTAATATGTAATAATTTTTCTCGAATTAAAGAAAAGTGAAATTAAATGTACATTAACTTTGATTAGTACAATCGATAGGTGAATGAATTGTTGAGTCATGAGGAGTAGAATTAACATTAGACTAAGAGCAACACAGAGGCGAGTGAGACATCACATGTTGGAACAATATGTCAATATTATAATATAGTGAGATGAATTTAAAAAAGTTCCTTAAGTCAAGTCTCACATTATGTGTTAGTGGAAAAAAACTCCTTAGTCCCACATTACTTAGTTGAGATATTTTTTCTTTCTCACTTCATTATATAAGAAAATTTCTTGTTTCATTACAAAACACACCAAAAACTTATTTTGAGTTTTTCCTTCCTCACTGTCATAACTCTGCGTCTTTAACGATGGACCTATAGCCAAAGGTTTTAAGCTCACCTTATATAAATGAGTTTTTCCTTCCTCAACTTGATGAAACTGTAGATAAGTACAAGGCTTACCTTGTAGCCAAAGGTTTTAGGCAAAGAGAAAATACAGATTTCTTTGACACTTTTTCTCCAGTCACTAGATTTACATCCATTAGAGTATTTATTTCAATAGCTTCTATTTATAACTTAACAGTATACCAAATGGATGTTAAAACAACTTTTTTAAATGGTGACTTAGAAGAAGAAATCTATATGGACCAACCAAAAGGGTTTGTGATTCACGCGCAAAATAACAAGGTCTGCAAGTTAGATAAGTTGTCTCTATATGGTCTAAAATAAGCGCCTAAACAATGACATGAAAAGTTTGATAACTTAATGATATCGAATGAGTACAAAGTGAATGAAAGTGACAAATATGTTTATTACAAATCTAAGAATCGCATTTGCACTATCATATGTCTCTATGTAGACGATCTACTCATGTTTGTATCAAACATTCAAACCGTATAGAATGTGAAATCATTGTTGTGCAACAACTTTGATATGAAAGATCTTGGAGAAGCGAGGGTGATTCTTCGTATCAAGATCACGATATCCGAGCAAGAAATTTATTTGGATCAATCACACTATGTGGAAAAGATTTTAAAGAAATATAATTACTTTGACTGTAAACCTGCGAGCACACTATATGATCCAAGCGTGAAACTGATTAAGAACATTGGTGAAAGTGTCAGACAAACAGAATATGCGAGCATCATTGACAGTCTTAGGCTTGTCATTGGTTGTACTAGACCTGATATTGCATATGTCGTATGAATGTTGTAGAGGTTTAAGAGTAGATCGAGTAATGAGCACTGACAAGTTATTGAGTGAGTCATGAGGTACCTTAAAAGGAACATGGATCTCGGCTCATATTATCTTAAATTTTCATATGTACTAGAAGGGTACAATGTTGCAGATTACAACACCTTATCGGATGATTCCAAGGCTACTAGTGGCTGTATATTTCGTATAGATGGAGGAGTTGTATCTTGAAAATCAAAGAAAGAGGCTGTCATGGCTCAGTCCACAATGGAGTTTGAGATGATAGTACTAGTCACAGCTAGTGAAAAAACAAGTTGGTTAAGATGCTTGCTAGTAGAGATCCCTCTGTGGGAAAAACCTATGTCAGCTGTGTTGATCCATTGCGATAGTATCACGACTATTGCAAAAATTAAGAACCGTTAGTATAACAGTAAGTGATGTCAAATAAGGTAGAAACACAACACTGTTAGAGATTGTATCTCTAAAAAAGGTTGTAAGAGTGGATCACGTACACACTGATGAAAATTTAGCAGATTCTTTGACGAAAGGATTAGCCAGAGAGAAAGTCCATAATACATCAAAGAGGATGTGACTAATGCCTATAAAGAAATAAGTTTTTCATGATAGTAACCCGACCTAAATGACTAGAGATCTCAAGAAATAGGTTCAATGGGTAATAACAAGTTGTGAGTAATATGAGATGATCATGCGAGTATAATTAAGTAAAGCATGAATCCTGAAGTAATAAGAGGATGAGATGATAGAAACTCTTAATGAGATCTATACTCTGTATGATGGAGTACCTAGGCTACAAGAGTACTCATGATAGACTCACCTGTGTGATTGTGGAACTTAGACCGATTCCTATGAAATTTTGAGGTAAAACTCCTAGAGCCTTCACTAAACCGGGATACACGTGCAGAGCTATTAAAACACGGGCTATTAGAATACACCTTAAAAAAAGGTTGTGTGCGAGTTTGATGTCTGAGATAGAGTTCAAGACAATTGTGTCACTCTTGTTGAATCAGAACTCTACCTGCTACGCAGAGGTTCAAGTCGTAGACACCTTTACTTATGCACAATCTTAAAAACGTTTGACGTTACTTCTAAAACACTTTTTTAAATTTAAGTTAGGGATTGTTGGAACATTATGTCAATATTATAATATAGGAAAATAAATTTGAAATAGTTCCTTAAGTCAAGTTCCACGTTGTGTGTGAGTGGAAAAAACTCCTTAATTCCACATGGCTTAGGTGAGATATTTTTCCTTCCTCACTTCATTATATAAGGAAATTTCTTGTTTTATTGCAAAACACACCAAAAACTTAGTTTGAGTTTTTCCTTCGTCGAAGTATCAACTTTTTGAATTATGGTAATTTCTCCTCGTTTGAGTTGAGAAATTATCAAGTATAATTTTTGGATTCTCTTTAAAGAGTTATTTGAATTTTTTTTGTTTGAGAAATCATTTTGAGTGGTCAAATGACCATCACTGAATTCTCTTAAGAGAATTATTGGAATTTCTCCTGGTTTAAGACATTATTACGACGGGTCGTTATATCAGATCTACGAGTGATATTTATACCTTATTCGTCTTTTATATCATCAGAGGGTGTTTACCCAAAACCTTAAAATAATATACCTTATTCGTCTTTTATATCATCAGAGGGTGTTTACCCAAAACCTTAAAATAATAGATGTGTGAGTTCTCTCACTTACTCAAGTCTCCACATTTATAACCAATGTGAGACTCCAACTCACATTTGATTTTAAGTCTCCACATTTATAACCAATGTGAAACTCCAACTCACATTTGATTTTATTATTCTTAATATGAATGACATAATCTTAAAAAATTATCTGCGTGACAACATGATTATTTCTTTGACTAAGAAGAGGTAGCTGTAAAAATTAATCATCATGGAAAATGATGGGCTAGGAATCATTTTCATGGGATAGAATCAAAATCAATCCAGTGTTTGTTATTTGCTTTCAAGATTTTAATCTTTGTTTCCATAATTATGTTTGACTGTATTTTATGATATGATTTATATGCTCTTAATTGTTCTATTTTACCTTCCATTTTCTGAATTTGCAAACATTTATATAATTATACTCATTTTTTGCTACTGGTTTTAGCATGGCCAAGACCCTAGAACGGTACCAAAGATGCAGCTATGGAGCCTTGGAATTACACCACCAACCTGAAATTGAGACACAGGTGTTTTCTTTTTCTCTCTCTCTTTACACTTTTCAAAATGATAGATTCTAACTAAATCTACAATATACATTGGTATAATATAGTTGACACCTACATAAAATGTTTTTTTAGTGTATACATTTTTCAATATGATTATATTGCTTCCAACTTAAGCACCAAAGAGAAGGAAAAAAAAATCTATAAATTTTGCGGACATGCAATCCATATTGTAAAAAAAAATTTAACCTTTTTTGAAATTTTGTTTTTGTATAAAATGATAAATGAAGATTTATCATTACTATATTTTAAATATTCAGAATATTATAAAAACATAAAATATATTTAAAAGATATAAGTAAACCTTTCAAAACACTCATATAATATAAATTTTGAGTTTTCTTAAATAATGAGAATTTTGCATATAGATAAAGTAAATTCTTCAAAATCTTCTCAACAAAAATAATTCAATTCTTTTCACTTGATTTTTTCTTTTTTTTTTCAAAATCTTCCTCTCTCTTCCTCTCCAAACTGTCAAACAAAGTCAAACAAAATCGTAAGGTAATCTTTCATTTCATCCATGAAATTAAATTTACTAGTTTACATATTTAAACTTTGTAACTTGTGGTATAATATGATCCTTTTATTAAATTTGCATTCCATATACTTTTACTTATAATTTCTACTTGTTCAAACGCCACATGTTTTTAACTTTTGCCTCCAATATCCAACCTCTCATTTTAATCAACCATTGTAACTTTAAATAAGATTATCTTATCTACAAAAAGCATAATTATTTTTGTTGGTTCTATGTTAATGTAAAAACATAAAGACTTAGAGTTAACCATATTGTAATCCTACTGTTATGAAATAATATTATGGCCATGCCTTTTATCCTTACATTGGTCAAACTCTTCTCATTCATATTTTTGAAAGCTCGAATATATGTATTTGTAAAACGGAGTTTCACACAAACTCTTTAGATATCTATCATACGCCTTTTTCAAATCAATAAAAATAAAATAAAATATTTTTTTATTTATATAATATTGCTCCATCAAACACCATAGCAAGTAGATCGCTTTCATAATTGATCTCTTAACATATGTTTAGATATCATAAAATGAACGGAGCGGAATGAAGTGGAGCGGAATGGAGCGGAGTAGAACGAGTGTCTCATTCAATTATTTGGAAATTTTAGAACAGAATAAGGTAAGTTGTTCATTCCGCCTACATTAGAGGGGAAGAAATATGGTGGTAAGTGATGGAATGGAATAGAATCCATATGACTCCATTCCGCTCCGCTCCATCAAATTTTAAATGATTCAAACAATGGAATATCATTCCGTTCCATCTCATTCCGCTCCACTCCGTCTGATTCCATCAATCCAATCAAAGCCTCAAACATTAAATATCTTGACTCTGTAATACTAAACGATTAAGAAATAGAATGGGATGTCAACCGTCGAATTCAAGTTGGGTGGCTTAAATGAGTGAGAACTTTAGGGGTTTTATATGACACATGGTACCGCTCAAGAAGAAGGAATTTTTTATTACATTGCATAAGACCTAAGATGTTGTATGAGATAAAATGTTGGGAAGTTAAGAATCAACATTAGAATAAAGTATGTGTATCAAAGATGAGGATGTTGTGTTGATGTGTGGTAAGACTAGGCAAAATAAGATTAGAAATAAAAATATTAAAGAGAGTGTTAGAATAATACTTATAATAGAAAAGATGGTGAAAAATATAGTTAAGTGCTTTGGATAGCTAGAGAGAAAACCTGTTGATTTTTTTGGTAAGATGAGTAGTTCAGATTGGGAGGAGTCAAACAACTACAGATAGAAGAATACCTAGAAAAACTATAAGAGAATTTATTAAGATAGATCTCAAGATTATCGATTTGGATAGAAGCATGATCCATGATAGAATTATTTAGAAAATCCCCAAGTCTCGCATTGGTAAGAGATGGACTTTAGAAAGAGTTTATATATAGTGAAACCTTTCACCTTTCAAGTAGTGTTTGTAAGGTTGAGTTAAGTCTAACTCACCTACTTTAATACGGTATTAGAGCCTATTGATCGGAACATGGACCATCCATCATTAATTTTCATGCACCGAGCCCAATATTGTTGATACTAAAGATAGGATGCTGATTGGCACGGAGGCCTATGACGGGAATGTGTGGTTCTGGTAGCTGGGTTTTAACAATTTGGAACTGCATCCACTGATTGAGGAAGAATATTTAGAATTGGTTACGATTTTACAGGCTGTTCGCTCTATTTTGGACAAGCGTGATGTGGTATTATGACCACTTGGTCCTTCCCATTGTTTCTCTGCTAAGTCCTACTATGACAAGTTGGTTGTGACTGTGGGTGGAAGGAATTTGGTCGATATTACCAAGGCTTTCATGCATTATTTATAGAAATAATTTATCCCTTCCAAGGTCAAGGTCTTCAGTTGAAGGTTATTACTTGGCAGGCTGCCTACGTAGAACAATCTTGCTCATCGAGGGATCCTTTCTAATCTATATGATTTTGGTATGTGTCTTCTGCTTTGGCCCTATTGAGGATGTTAATCATCTCTTTTTCACATGCCCTAGGATTGTGTTAGTTTGGAGAAAAGTATTGGTATGGCTGGAGATTGGGTGAACACCTTGCTTCTAATCACTTATCGGCTTGGTTAGAAGGGTTGAGAGGTAGTTGTTCTAGAAAGAAGTTTTGTGGCATATAAGTTGTGGCTTGTTGGTGTATATGGTGGGCTAGAAATCGATTCATTTTCAATGATGACATGGGTGATGCGGATTCGATAGTGCTGTGAATTATATATTTTTCATGGTGGTGGTTGTTAACATTCTTTTGTAATTTTATGATTGGTTTAAGCATCCTCTAGATTTTATCTAGGTTTGTTGTATAACTAAAGGACAATAGTTTTTGGTGTGGGTTGAGATACTCCTAATACTCTGAAATAATTGAATGTTTAACTTATAAAAAAATAGACTCTTTACACAAACATTAAACATTACAGGTTATGTTGATACCAACATATTAACATTAATATATATCAACAATAGCATTATTACATGTTTGATTTTTGTCATAATGAATTGACTAATTTAACCTAACAATAACAATATTACATATTTTGATTTAAGTTATAGAGATTCAACTAATTTTAAGGATTGGTGATAGACCGTTTAACATGACTATCATAGCCCTTTTCTTCTTTAATGACTTTTATATAGAGTAAATTATAAGATGAAGAATTCTCATTGTTTTATTATATTGACATTGTTTTATCATATATTTTGATATGTCTTAATGTACCTAGAATCCAAACCCAAACCCACGTGTGAGTATCACAACGGGCATGTAAAAGTTGATTATCTTACAAATACAATTTTTGCAAGTACATAAAAACACTTCATTGGCTTTTGGGAAATTCTAACATGCATGCATCATCATGCTCTTGAGTAGAAGCGCTATCAAGAGTATCTCAGGCTAAAATCAAAAGTCGAAGGACTACAACAAACACAGAGGTATTATGATTGGCCATGTTTGAGATATTCTTTATAATAAGCTATTTTATCCAAAAATTATTAAGAATGATTTATATTGGTTGAATGAAAATAAAAAATAAATTTTCACCTTGTAGAAACTTTCTTGGAGAAGAATTGGAGCAATTAGATATTAAGGAGCTTGAGCAGCTAGAACGTCAGTTAGACTCTTCCTTAAAGATAATCAGGTCAAACAAGGTATGCAAAATTAATATTATTTTAGATTTGTGTATTCTTTGAAAATTTATTATTGTTATTATTGATTGAAAGGAACGTTATGTTAAGAATCCAAGATTTTCATAAAAGGAGCTTGAACTTGCATGAAGAGTGATAAAAACTCCATAAATGAAAAGTAGAGGAAAGTAAGAAGATGATAGAATAAAACATACAATACTTATTATTGAGCTTGAACAATCAAGAGTGCAATACAAGTATATATAAGAAAGCAAGCTGTAACTCTCAAAACAGTTAGCCCTAACTATCCTAACAACTTTCCATATAAGGAAACAATCATAACAAACTTATGAAAAAGACTAAAAAAGAAACTTCTATCACAAGTTATTATTGCATTGATGTATTATTCATGAGAATCAATATTTCAACAGCCTCCCTCAAGTTCAAGCATGGTAGATGTCAAGCATGCCAAGCTTGAATACAAACTTTTGAAACTTGTTTGTTGTTAAGGGTTTGGTGAGAAAATCAGTCAGCTGCTCTTGTGAAGCTATATGCAATAACTTGAGCACACCTTGTTTGATCTTTTCACGAACAAGATGACAATCGATCTCGAGATGCTTTGTTTTTTTGTGGAAAACAGAATTTGAAGCTATATGTATGATGCTTTGATTGTCGCAATATAGAATAGGTGGTTTGCAACATATAATATGAAGGTCCTTCAGAATATAGAGTAACCAAGTTAGCTCACAATTAGCTGCTCCAAGGGTTTTGTACTTCGCTTCAAATGAAGATCTTGCAATGATTTGTTGCTTCTTAGCTTTCCATGACATAGAGATGATCCTATGAAAAAACAATATCCCGATGTAGATCTCCTTGAATCAACACAACCTACTCAGACTGCATCAGAGTATCCCAAAATTTGAGTGCCTGAAGTTCTTGGAAATAGAAAACCTCTGCCAGGATTACCTTTTAAATATCTAAAAACACTGCATGCTGCATGATAATGTATCTGACTCGGTTCTGTAGAAATTAGCTCAATTATCATATTGCTAGTGTAATGTTAGGTCTTGTGTTGTTCAAATAAAGAAGCCTACCAATAATCCTTCTGTAAGCAACAACATCTTCAAAAGGTTTGCTTTTATCTTGATACAATTTGATTAATGGATTGAGAGATGTGTCAATAGGTTTTGATGCAAGTAAACATGTGTCCTTCAGGTTTTAATCTGAACATAGCCACTACAAGAAGAACTCTAATTGTGGAGAATTTTTCTATAGAGGAGAATGTGTCAAAGAAATCCAAGCCTTTTACATGATATACCCTTTGGCAACCAATCATGCCTTGTACCTCTCAACTGATCCATTAGCTTTATGTTTGATCATGTAAACCCATCTACTTCCAATAGGTTTGACATGTGGTGGTAAATCTACTAGTATCCAAGTACCATTGATGGCTAAAGATTCTAGTTCAGAATTCATAGCCTTCAACCAGTTCTTATCCTAACAAGCTTCCTCATAAGTGTTTGGCTCATGATCAAGGTTAACAGAATAATTGAACTTTTCATGATTAGGAGACAATTTTTAAATGAATGAAAAGAGGAAGTGGGATAAGAGATACCTGAAGATGATGGAATTAGGTGATTGCTTGAGGAACTGAACACATAATCATTGAGATGGGATGGAGGATTTCTGTTTCTGGTAGGTCTATGTGAATTGTCAGGGTCATTATTTGTGTTAGTGTTAGGCTCATTATTGTTGATGTCAGGCTCATCATTGTTGGTGTTATGCTCACCAGGGATGAGTGAACTATGAAGGCCATGATTGGTATCAGAGTCAGCAGATATAAGATAATCATCATGGTTAGGTGTGGTGGTATCTTATTCTTCACAAGATGTGATATCATTTTGTGAATGGTTTTGATTACTAGGTGAAGTTTCATTGGATATGTTTGTAGGGTTGGGGCCTAAGTAATATTTCCAATTGGGTGCATAGTAAAAACTATGTTAACAATGAACAACATTCCTAGATAGGAATATGTCATGGTTATTGATGTCTAGGAGAATCACCCCCTTGACACCTTGCTTGAAGCCTAAGAAAATGCATTTTCTTCCTCTACTGTCAAATTTAGTTCTATGGGACTGTAATGTAGATGCATATGTCAAAGTGCCAAAAACTTTCAGCGTGAAGGTCAGATTCATCATTGAACAACATAAAATAAGCTGATTTTTTTTTCCAAAATTAGATTAGGCACTCTATTCATGATATATACAACATGATTGATTGCATAAGACCAAAATGACTTGGGAACATTGGCTTGAAAAATTAAGGCTCTAACAATGTTAAGTATGTGTTGATGCTTCCTCTTCATTCTACCATTTTGTTGAGGAGATTCAACGCAACTTGTTTGATGTGAGATACCTTTGGAAGCATAGAATTGGGGCATGATAATTTCATGACCATTATCACTTCTAATGGTCTTGATGTGAGAGTTAGGTTGTATTTCAGCCATACAAAATCAATCACATTTTGTCTGGCTTCATACTTTTATTTCATGAGTATGATCCATGTTTATCGACTAAAATCATCCACAACAGTTAAGAAATAAGAATGATCAGGTTTAGTCTTAATGGCTATAGGACCCCAAATATCAAAGTGAACAATATCAAAAAGCTTCTTTTCTTTATTAAAAACTTAAACGATAAGGTGATCTTTTATGTTTGGCATAATGACAAACATCACAAGCAGAATTATTGTCAAGAACAACAAAAGGCAAAATAAAATGAAGGGTTTGCATCCTAGTGGGGGATAAATGTCCTGATCTAAAATGCCACAGGGCGTGTTCAAGTATACAATGACTTGTTGATTGATATGTGGCATGAGTGTCATGGTCTTTATTCTTGAGAATTAAGTGATACATTCCTTGAAAGCTCTCGCCCGAACCAATCATTTTCATTGTGATAGGACCCTGAATGAGACAACGATTGTGAGTGAAACTTACTTTATACTTGGACTGTTGAAACAATTTGTAGACGGAAATTAGATTAACAGAAAATCAGGTATATACAAGACATTGGATATGATGAAATCATGTGAAAACTTAATAGTGCCTATATGTTCAGCTAAAGCATATTCTCCATTGGGAAGTCTAACATTTATAGGGGGAACTTTAACATATGAAGAAAAACAAGAACTCAATGAACAAATATGATTACTAACAGCTGAATCTATGATCCAAGTTTCTAATGAACATCCTTTGTAAGCAAAAGAGAAGGTTTTACCTTTATCATTCAAATATGGGTGACCTATGAATGTGGAAGAGCTAACTTGGTTAGAAGTTGCAAGGATGATACCTTGACTAATGGTTGAACTCTGAAGTATATGCACAAGCTTCTCATATTGGTCTTGAGTAATAACAGAAGAACCATTGTTAATTGGAGATGTGTGAGCATCCACCTCATTCTCATTATCATTTGCAACAGTATTGATTATCATAAGGCCTTTGCCGAAGTGTGGAAGAAAACCATATTTTTTATAACAAACTTCAATTGTGTGGCCAATTTTACCTCAATTAGTACAAATTTTGGACTTAGAAGTGTTGGATTGTGCTGCAGAATTGCCAAGCTTTGGATTGGGTTTCTTGTACCCAACGACATTGATTAAAACTTGAGATAAATTAACTGGTGCAGAGCCATGTTGCCTTTCATGTTGAAGAACCATGGAAAATATTCTATTCATTCCAGGCAGAGGATCCATGATCAAAATCTGAGACTTTACCACAGCAAAATTCTCATTTAATCCAGTGAGGAATCGAATAACATTCAACATCTTGTGATTCTTCCTGGATTTTCTCATGGCCTCATAAGAACATCTATTTCTACAGGTGCAAGTTGGAATTGGCATGTAAATCTCCAACTCTTCCTAAAGAACTTTCAAAGTGGAATAGAATTCAGTAACAAACTTTGAGTCTTGCTTAAGAGCATAAACTTCTTGCTACAATTCTGTGATATAAACTAAATCTCCTTGAGAAAACCTCTCTTTAAGATCGTTCCACACATTGATTGTGTTTTCCATGAACGCAATTGATTTAGTTATTGATTCAAAAATAGAATTACGTAACTAAGAATGAAAAAGCATGTTGCACCTATTCCATGCACGGAAAGAAGGATCCAACTCATTGGTTGGTACTTGAGTGAAGTCATCAACGAAATCGAGCTTCAACTTTCAACCAAGAGCTCGTCGCATGGATCTCGCCCAAGAGTGATAATTGGAGCCTTCAGGAACCGGGGTAACTTTGATAGATGAAGGTCCATGAATAGGATGAATATATTAAGGGTTGTTAGGACCAGAAGTTGGTTCTAGTGGTGTAACTCGCGGTGGAGCCATAACAGAAAACAAAAAGAGAAGAAGAAAAACGAAATAATTAAAGGAATATTGGAGAAGGTGGATCGATGAAGGCGTGTGATACCATGTTAAGAATCCAAGATCTCCATGAAAGGAGCTTGAACTTGCATGAAGAAGGATAAAAACTCCATGAATTGAGAGTAAAGGAAAGGAAAAAGATGATAGAATGAAGCATACACTACTTGTTATTGAACTTGAACAGTCAAGAGTGCAAGAAAAGTATATATAGGAAAACAAGTTGTAAATGTCAAAACAGTTAGCCCTAACAACCCTAACAACTTTCTAGATAAGGAAACAATCATAACAAACTTATGAAAAAGTCTATAAAAGGAAACTTTTATCACAAGCTATGACTACATTGATCTATTATCCATAAGAATCAATATTTCAACAACTTAAGTGAAGACGGACTTTTGATAAGTGTATCTATTGTCGTCTAATAATATAATATTCAAAATTCCTATTTAAAGAATTATTACAATTTCTATTAGACAGTTAAAATTTTATGTAATATGATGTAATGTAAACGGGGTATGTATAGCATATGTATTAGGCAAAAACATGTTTTAAAAATAACCTTAAGAAAAACTAGTAATTAAAAATGATCTACCATTTTTTAAATCCTT